ACATTACATACTTTGCATCTATAAACAGTCTGGCTATGGTACTCTTTACAACAAAGTCTTTTGTTATCAACGGACTTTACGATAAAATGCCTACCATCTCCCTGCAATGGTTTTTGAATGCTGAATTTACTAGATCTTCCTGTTGCTGATCTATTTCTGGCTGATTCTACACTCTCAATAGGAGTTTGCGAAAGGAATAATGCATTCTCGCGTCTGAAATCTAAAAAGAGACTTTATATTTACATTAGTAAAAAGTGGTGATATTTAGTAAGTTTAAATACGGTCCCGCCTCGTATAATTTATCAGTATTGTCAATTTGACTATTGTCAAATGCAAATTCTGCTTCATATTCCTGTACTGGAAACGTGATATCGATTCTCGTACAACAGAAACACAAATGTCCTTATCAAAAGACCAATACATTTTTTTCTTGAGGTAAAGAATGATATCTTGTAAGCAATAATATTCCCCTATATCTTCTCATAATGGCTTCAAATGCAAAAAATTCTAGGCGCCCTTTTTTTTCGAGAGTAAATGTCTAAACCAAAACGAAAATCGAAAATCTGTGCACTAGTTTTACCTTGTATTTTGTCTTTTATAATTTCTCTTCTATCTCCTTCTTCATGTTCTTCCTGAGACATTATTAACAGTTCCTTTTTTATCCACTTCAAGATTTCAGTCTTCTGCTTTTTAAAATTTTTAGTTTGACTATAACTACTTTCAGAAGGCTGAAACTTACTTCTTACGTGAATTTCAAATACCCCAGCAGTATCATTTGGTAAAATATCATTATCATTATTTAAAACATTACCATTCCTTTCTTCTTCGTCACTAGATTCTGCAATTTCTGGTGGAACAACAACAACATCAGTTTTATTCTGGTCATTATTAACATTATCATCATCTGTTTCTTCATCAAAAAAATCTTTGAAAGGCTTCTTCTAATGTAAGATGCCTCGTTCTAGGCATTTTTAAACAACCAGAACATGAACCGGAACATCGAAAGGAATGAGTGAAAAAGGAGATTTTCCTGCTGATGTTGCGTCAGCGCAACACCTGTTTTCCCTTCCTTCCCAACACAAATATAAACATCTGACTGATGTAATGTTCTGATAAACGGTGATCTTGACTAAAAATAGATCACTCATAAAGACGACGATTCTTTCGTTAAATATTTTCAGCAAAAATACCCGGTCGAAAATTTTGCTTAAATTGTGCTTAAAGTATGAGATTAATTATTATAAACAAAGTGATTGTTGAAGGCAAATATTTTTTTACAGAAATAATTTTCATAATATTCCCTACGCAAAATCATCTGCTGGTATAAAATATCTTAGGTAGTTATATTTATATACGCATTTATTTTGACCGTTGTGTCAACGCAACACCAGCGGCTAATGGGTTAAGACACATAAGTACCATGTAATTTTGATAGGGGGGAAAGGCTTGCAAATATTTAAACGCCAGAACTTTAAAAAAAGTAACTAATATAACCTATATATATATATATATAATAGGATCGTCACTTATATTTATGACATCAGACAAATTCCTAGCTTTAAAACTTTCATTTGTTTACCTGCGAGCAGAAAATATGAAAAGTTATCAATGCCCTCGCCTAGACTTGAACTCCGGACTTTCCTATTGATAGCCGGATGTGCTTCCAATCACACCACGAAGACACATGGTCAGAAAGGAAAAACAAATCCTTATATTATTTCCCACTTAAACTGCGACTGAGAAGGAGAAGACTCAATCGCTAAATCCAGGTGGTGACGAATTATCATCTATCATTTTAGTTCAGGTGCCACTGTAGAAACATTAGGTTTGCCGAAGGAGGAAACATGAAAAATGTGCAAAGCCCTCACTGGGATTCGAACTCCGGACATCCCAGCTGCTAGCCGGACGTGCATCCAATTACACCATGAAGGCATGTGATAACGAAGGAGGAAATGCCTGACATTCTTCCCCGCTTAAAGAGCGAGTGGGAAGACGGGAACCCAGTCGCGAAAAACTGGCGGTGACATATTATCCTCCACCACATTTTAGTTCGGCCGGTAACATGGCCTATGCCTTCGCCAGGAATCGTATTTTGGATCTTTCGATCGTAGCTGTATGTGCTTCTAATTACTACACGGTCAGACAGTAGAAAATTCGTTACATAGCAAAGCCCGAAATTTTATAAGCACGTCCAGCCGCTCCTCTCCGTATGCAATCTTGTAATATGTGATAAACATGTGGAGAGGTAGTTCGATTGCCTGAGAGTTAATTAACCGCTGTCCACATGTTTAACGCAACCAGAATTAATTTATACCAATTCGTTTCTTCTGGTCCGAACATTTAATCGAAAACAATATATGAAACAAACGAAATAAAATCTATACAATGGCTTTTTCGTGCATTAACAAATTAAGAGGTTTCTTATAAGCAATGGACATCATTATTATCTTCATTCAACCATACAATTAATGGAACAAGGCGAATCAATTCACAGGAACAGAAAGTCAAAAAAAGGCACCGTGGTTTCCAGTCCGCTTGTATACATTTATATGCAAATTTGCATATAAAAGGGCCAGAAATATTCCCTTCAGCGGGGAAGGGGATAATTTCTATTAAAGCGAGCAAATGAGAATATGAATTTCGTATTTAATGAAAAATCCGCGAAACTTATTTTCTTTAATGGAGAACAAAGCATAGGCGACTGAATGGGGGGGAATATAAAAGAAATGCCTTAAAGTGAAAAAAAAGAAAAAGAAGAAGGAAGAGGGAAAAAAAAAAGGGAAAACGAGTGACAAAAGGAAGATAGACGACGAGTGGATTAAAGCGGAGCCAGTCAATTAATTTTTTAGCCCTTAAAGAAATGCTGATAAAACGCACAACTCTGTTGTTCAAAAGTAATTCGGCATTGGCATCCATAAAAATAAATAAGTAAATAAAATGTTGATTGTATTTAAGAGGTACAGATAATTAAATTTAATTTTGAGAATTAAGAACAACGAAATAGAGGGGATTTTTATTGAATAAAAACGTAAGTTACAAGGAAAAAAACCTAAGAATTATGTTTAAGTTCTTTCTTATTCGCGTACCTATCTCTCTCCATGTGTAATGCAACTGTCAACAACTTTCCCTTTCAAAGCCACCTGATCAAGCTGATAAACCTTCTATCGCAGTTAATCAGCCAGCCGAATGAACTCACTAAAGTGCGACAAGCGTATAAAATTAGTAAACTTAACTAAATTCCACAAATTATCTTAATAATGCAACTAAGACAACACGTGCAGACGCGATCAGGATCCCTGTAGTTTACTAGATATAACAGAAAAGAAATAACCCATAAAGCTGTTTTTATTTTATGACACCTTTTTTTAACTTATTTTTGTTAACAGGAACTGAACTTATTCAATAAAAGTATACAGAATAATGCCGATAACAATGTAATCATTCATTTTACATCTCAGGTTCGACAACAAAATCTTTTCAGACTCTATACGCTGAGTTCAACGCAAGATCTTCAAGATGTAATATTTTCTGTTACACTGACTTTTCGTTTTATAAATGATCGATTGTTCAAATACAAAATTTAATGTTATTTTTATAATAGACGGTTACTCAGAATAAAGAGCTTAATGTTTTCGTTTTATGAATTAATTGATTACTTAGGCAGCAAAGCCGAATTATTAGAGGATTTTAAATTATGCTAACATATGCAAATAAAATTTTTTTGGGGGAAAATTCACTTCTTTCACTGAAATCTAAGATCATACATGTCATAATCCTGCGTATTAACAGAATAAACGTCATTTGTATCCAAATACACACAATTTATGTTTTGTCCACGTGGACCTTATATATCCAAATAAATACAAACTAGTTACGGTCCAAAGAAGACACAGATATACAAGTATATAGTAAACCCTTCCCGAAAACGGATTTGCGGAACACGATTTTACGTATGAGTTATCTTAACCGTCTCTATTTAATATGTCAAACGCGATAATTTCAATCATACGCAGTACGCTGTAGAGCGTAGTCCACGTTATGATAGTCTAATGACAAAATTTATTTCATTAAAAGAAGTCAAATATTACTTAGAACAACCAAAGGTTTTCCTAATTTTCGATAATGCTCCAGAACACGGTACTGAAGCCCTCAACAACACTGCATCCAAATGTAAAGGTTTTATTCCTTCCACCAAACATCACTTCCTTAATTCAACCAAAATCAAGGAATCATAAAAAACATTTAAAGTATATTATGTCAGGTATGCTTACATCTCTGCAAATAAAACATTTAGACAAAGGAAAGCACGAGGCACGAATGGCATTTGGGAAACAATTGAAAGACATTGCGTAGAAATAATTAAACTCGCATGGGTACAAGCGAATTCATTAACATTGAATGCTTGCTCACATCAGCGCTGGCTAGAAGTTGTCAACAATATCAAAGAATTTATATCAATTAAAAATAAAGCAAAGTAAACCGTACAAATTGCAAACACAACAGACGGCGAAAATTTTTCAGATATGGAAGACGAAGAAATCTAAGAATTAGTCTAAAATGACAAATAAAGAACTGGACCATCTTATAACACCAGCAGTAGTGGTAAAATGGGAATTCTGCATCTGCGGGGTCAAGGGTATAGCCAATGACGGCACACAAAGGGCGTGGCCAAGGGTACCGTCAACAAAGACGACACGACAGACAGCTCGGGCAGTGACGTCACGAACAGAGAATAGTTGTTGCTGGTTAAGATGAGCTGCAAACTTCCTGCTGCTTTTAGCTTCGATTCCCATTTGGATTTAGTTTTTAAAAATTGGCAGCGGCTGAAGAGAATTTTTTTTTGCTGCTCTCAAATCTTAGTTTGGAAGGCACATAGCGCCCTGTATTGACATAAAAAGAAAATTTTGTGTTAGAGAAATTTTTAAGTTCCTCCTTTAAATCTTTTAATGCGCATCTCTGAAAACAATTCACATTATAAAAATAGAATATAAGCAACTTACCTCTAAAGGCAATTCATCTCGTAACAATGAAATTATCTCATTTTTTATTCGTCTAGGCAGCCTTTATAACTTTATGTTTAAGTTTTCTTTTAATTGCATTATAATTTACTCCTTTAGCTATTTTCTTCTCACTCTCCTTCGACAGTAATAAATTCCAATATCGGTTCTGAATTCATTTCGTCTTTGAAACATCCAATTTCTATTTTATTATTAATATGGTATAAAAGATGGTTCTTTGGATAATCTGATCTATTATACATATGCACATGGAAACTCGCATCTTGATATACATCTTCAGTTAAAATCTCGTACTTGAGAAAATATGTCGGTAAAAAGTAACCTTAGCTCTCTCTCCATACTGTCTTTCGACATGATTATAACGAAAACTGTACATGTGATATTTAACCAAGTTCTAATATAAATAGGCCCATACAAATAAGCCGGTTTAGATTAACACAGTTTTTTAGCTTTTATATTCCAACCAAGTTATTATCAGAAATTATGATAGGTTGGAGATGCTACTAATTTTTCCACTTTTTTCTCGGTATTTACTCATTGGACATCCAACATGCTTGTTCACATTTTCCATAGCTTTGCCATATACACATTTTCATTTATTTAAAAAATCTTTTACATATTCTGACAACACATTTTTACACTGATTCGTGTTAAACTGTATATAAGGTTGTAACCATGCTTTTTGATTAAATTTTAGAATTTTGTGTTTATGAACTAATTTTAAACCTAATGAGAGATATAATAGTAATTTTTTATGACAGATGACATAATTGAATTTAGGGTTTAAATTAGGAACTAATTTAGTGCTCTACATGAATTCATTATTTAATGCACTGACTGCATTGGGCGAAAAATGATTAGCTTGTATTTTTATTTTTTTCTGAATGGATATCGTGAAATTCTTTAGGATATTCGAGGCCTTCTTCCAAGATGTATCCCTTGAAACTGTCATCAGACACAGCTAAAACATTTCTATAGCATTCTTACTGGGTTCAACCAATTCAAAATTTCCATAGGGTAAGAGTTGACTCATGACCCAACCACATTAATTATTTGCATCAAAATGCACAAGATACGTTTACTTTCTTTAGCTGAATAAACATTTTTAAGCTACTTATTATTTGCTGTAGCCTTACGCTGGGTAATTATGGATACTCATCCGAGAATTCCGTGTTCTGTATGTTAAATGCTTATTATTTATACAAATGGAATCCATTAACTGGTTATTTTTAAGCATGCTTGATAAGCTAATTGGTGAAGTCATAAAATAGTATAAACTATAGTAAGTTTTATGAAAGACTTCTAAAATTTTTGAAAACGTCTACTAATTGTAAAACATCACTTTTCACATAGAAATCGAGATATTCACCTAGATTTTGCATACGAAAAGCTTGCCAAAGAGTTTGAGTATGCATATAATCTTCCGAGGATATATTTTCATCAGTTAATGTACTTTGAAAATCTTCTATGGGAGGCAATTGATTATCCTTAAATTTTCCAAATGACATTATATACTCATAAAGATATAAGCCCTTTCGTCAAATTTTATGTCTTGATGAATATTCCCTTTTAGAATTTAAAATTTTTCTTCGGGTATGTTTCTCCAAGCTTTTCCAATGATGGGTTCATAAATTACAAACACTCAATAAAGATTAAAGATACTGTTATATTGTTAAATTTTCTTCTAATAACTAAAAGAAATATACTTTTTCACATTATTGGCTACGACGGAAAACTCTCGGTTTTGAACTATACCCATGCCTTGCATAATTAAATGTGCATCATAATGTTTTATGGCATACAACCGAAATTTTCTTTTGAAGCCTATATTTTAAATTACACAAATTGAATAAAGCTCCTTCCCGTACTATCATGATGATTTTTCACAGGGTCATAATTGAAAACATTTTTACAGAAGTAATGAGTAGCACTTTTAAAATTTTCCTCCTCTTGAGGCATCATACATAGAGGTACTTTGATTCTTTTTTCCATAAAATGTTTTCTATGAAATACCCCATTGCATTAGGATCTACGTACACTGTTAACGGTTTAACATTTTCCCCATCAGATCCTACAATTATATAGGCATATCCACATGCTTTATGACGTATATCTCCTGTGAAAGATGCAGTGATCACATCAGGTTAGTAAGTATCTATCTTTTCGATAACTGTTTCAAAATCGGCGTAAACGATATACGTAATAGACTTTCATAATGATAATTTGTATATTTTTTCCTCGTTTGAGGGCATTTTAATCCGCTGTATATTTTGATGTTGACAATATTTTGTATGTTCCAAGAGGCTTTCACAGGTAAATCAATGAACACATTTTAAGCAGCAGAACATACGTGCATAATGTTTCGTTACGTTACCTAATAATTTGGACGTATTTCTTATTTTATTAAGTAATAATGTTGTTTAATATCATCACGGATTTAAAAGTAAATTGATACAATCAATCTCCTTTCTTTTCGAAGGGTACAAGGGAAAGACTTCATTCTTCTCAGATCTAAATATGTTCATTCTAATATCATTTAACTTCTCCCAACAGCCGATATTTTTGTAACAGGAATAGGGCATTCAATATTTCCTAAATTTATTTCATGATCGTTAAGGTTTATAGTTATTTACTCGGTGTGCCTTACTTTCCCCTTGAAATAACATATGTATGTTTAAGTAAGCACCCCACTAAATATTTTTATCATTATTTTTAATACTCGTATTTAAAATCGCTTTTTTCATTGCCATTTCTTTCGGAAGGGAAATGTAACTGCTGAAAGCTAAGGAATGATATCAAGTTGTGTATAATTCTAACTTTTCAATCTGATCTAATATTCTTCCCGAACCATTTTGCAAAAACTCTTCAAATGATTTCTTTACCTTATTGTAGGCCTCATTCAGCTGTTGAATATTATCTAATGTTAAATTTATTTAAAAATGCAGATACAAAATATAGCTTGATAAATCCCTCTTCTTCATCGTGGTGTCCATTTCTAGAAAACTGCTGCTACGATGATATACCAATTCAGGGTCGCCTTCACATTTATTTCTTCTTCAAGTTTCAATGCAATATTGGATTTTACGTTAGTTAAAAATATAATTAGATCTTGATTTCTTTCTTTATTTAGGGTACTAGTAAAATAATTGAAAACATTTAAGGCAGATGTCACATGTTTTATTCACTTGTTTGATGGCTTTGAGTAATTACTTTTTCCTTTGATACTGTTAAAGGTGCAATGCTGATTACGGACGTGCTTCATTAGATCATGTTTTTTGCTAAATACATGGTTGCATTTTACGCATGGAAATTTAATTTTAGCATGAGTTTTTAGCATTTGTTTTCTTTAACTATCTCCTGTCGTAAGCTGAGTCTGACATTCTACACAGCTAAAGTTTTTACCATCATGGGTTTCCGTTTGACGAACTAAATGACATTTAGTTCTAAACCTTTCACCACATATGTAACAAACCTGTGAAAGATAAAAGAAAAAATTCAATATGCATGCTTTTTAATTTTTTATCATTAATAAAAGCCTTACTTTTAATTGTTCCTCACTAAAAATTCTCAATACACGTATATAATTAATTTTTAAAATTTCTCAGTATCAACTACCTATATCTAAACAGTTTTGTTGACATATACCAAAAATTTGTTCAATTTAAAAATATCTCCACCTTACTTTTTGCAAACTCTTTCTAACAATCACACATGCAGTAACTAAACGTTCACATACTCTATTTTAGAACAATTACTGAAGGGAAGGAAGACCACAGAATAAAAAAATATATGCATAAGTTGCTATTAAAAAAAAGTTACCTCTCTTCTATTTGAACTTTCTTGAGGTTTTGTTCTTGAACATTCCATTCTTTCAGAAGTCTTCGTTCGATTAATGCTCATTAATGACAGCATTACATTATTCTGCCTCTAATCTAAAGCTGAGAAACTGGAAAGAAAGAAGAAAAATTGTGTTAATCAAAAAATATTTTAGGAATATTCAAAATTAATAGCTAAATATGCTTTTAAAATAAAATTAAAGATTTGAAATAAAGGAACCATACATTAAATCCAGTGCCTTCTAATAAAAATATATTTAGTTCTTTCACACAGTGTTGCAATGTATTTAAAAAAATCCTTTCTACATTAAAAGTATCACGTAACGATATACAAACTTTTTAATTTTATCCCTCCCCGTAACCCTTACAAATGGTTGAACATGCAATATCCCTCCCCGTAACGTACTCTAAACTATGTACTCTGAACTCGTAACTATGTAAGTAAAAGCATGCATTTAAAAGCTTTTTCTGTTCAAATAATTAATCACACTTTACACAATAAATGTAAATCATGCATTAAAAAATAGATTGCAATCCACCTTGAGGGGGGGGGGAAAGCTTACATTTAAAAGCAACTTTTAAGAAAGTTCAGGTAGATTGAAAAATACAAATAACTGAAATAATATAACAGTTCGAATACTTACATTGGAAGAAGCAGAATGCTGATCTTGCTTGAAAGTCATTGCAAAATAGCCCTCTTGTAAATCAGTTTCTCAGAAAGACTTGCTCTTCTCAGTGTCGCAAAGAGAACTGACTTCTTCCATTTTTGAATGGCGTTTTTATGCGATTTAAAGAATGTTCTGAAACATTCCAAGTTTGTATAATATGAAACAGGATAACAATATTGTGATAATACATTCTTTCAAACACGATTTCAACTCTTTTTTTTTTTTTTTTTTCAAGGTTTCCTGTATTTTCCATTAACGCCTTCCCCAAATCATGATAACGTGACTATGGACTTCTTCCTTTTAAGACTACAACTTTTACCAAACATTACCCTTTATCTGTGCGTGCGTAACACCAAACTTGAGAACAACAATTCTTCCACATATATTTTCAGCAATTATAAAAATTTCAGAATTTTCCATTTCCGCATCCACGATAACGCAATCTTGCAATTTTCTGACGCAGCAATTACAGAGTCATTCATGATAACATGAGTTTATTTTTTATAGGAAATGAAAAAGAAAATTCGAAGTTGTAAATGCAGTAGACTCTTTGTTAGGGATATTTAATATCCATAAATCAGTTCGAAAACAAAATGAAAATTCATCCACACGAATTTCTGCAATAAAATGCAACGTACTATCCTACTGCGCGCGGTAATTTCAAGACTTGTGCAACATGACAAAAATTTCCTTCAAAATTTTATAATTTAATCTTGCTTATACAAATGTCCGCCAGCCTCATTTATAATAATGAGTTGAAAGTCTTTGAAGAAAGAAGGTGAGTGCATTTTACAGCAAGTTTTTAAGCAGGATGAACATTCTTTTAAAATAAAATTATACTAAGATATTTTAAAGATATTGAAAGAAATTATTCCACATGTATCTAAGGCTTTATATAAACGTACTTTTGAGATGAAACAAGTGATGATGAAGAACTCTTTAAAGAACTTATAAACTCTACAAAATCTGAATTAAATTCAGGGATAAAAAAACTATATGTGAGCGATGCATTGTAAATCATCCCTCACAAACAAAACATGAAGGCATCACGATAAAAGTTGATGACAGACTTAAATATATTGTCAAGATATATTTTTAGGTAAAAAGTTTTAAAATGTAAGAAATTCTTTAAAGCAGAAAAAAATTTATTCAATTATTTCGTGACTTGGTTTTTGAATCTAATTGTTATGAAGATTATTAAAATGCTTTCATGTAAGTACAGCTGTTCGATTTAAATTTCTGTGTTTGATTGATTTTAGGCATATATTTTGCTTTTTCGTAACCATCTTTTCTCTATCTAATGTATTTTTTGACAGAAATATACTGAATTTTTTTTAATTAAAAGAATGCATATGTAAATTATTACTTTCTTATCAAATATAAATAAATGGATATTTCTAATAACCTGATATGAATTTATGAAAGAAAATTTTAAGTGTTCCTTTAAGTATAGCATTTTTTTTTTGAACTAAATAAATGTGTTAAAACTTCAAAACTTCTTGGCGAAATGATTATTTCATTACTTTTAACACAACTTATAAGCTTTTTATATCTATTGAGTTTAAAAAAAAAACAGTCTATCAAAATATTGATTGCAGATGTTTAAAAAATACTCTATAAAGACCTGAAGAGGGGGAAAAATAAGAAAAGAAGGAAACTACATGTAACATAAAAAGATTAATTTTATTCGATTCATAATGCTCCCATTCTCGGGAAGAGTCTGCATGATTTCTATAAGAAGGTGACTTTACACAATTAATATGTATTTCTCCCTCCCATCATAGTCATGAACAAATAATGGAAACATTACGTAGAAACTCATTTTAGCAAATGGTTCGCCAACATCATTTTCTCGCACTTTATAGCGATAGTAAATTAGAAGCTGGAATCCACTGATTAAATTTCTCAGAATAATCGCGATATTTTACAAAGCATTTTGTCAGATTTTTACACATATATTTTCTTAAATTTTTTTCAATATGATATTGTTCTTACTTTCTACAACTCTTGTGCATAAAACGTTCCTTTTACCCAGTCTCCAAGCAAATCTTTAATTCTATACACTGTTGGATGTCTTTTGACACACTATGTCACCACAAATAGTTCTTCGGTTGAACTGGCTTCATACCCTTTTTCAAAAATAAGCTTTAGTTTGGAAGTGCGCACCAAATCACCCATAGCGAACACACATTTAGAAACTCTGAAAGGATGATTTCCACACAAAGTAAACCATAAATCACACATTTCCTGAATTTATTTCTATTGGAGCTCGCTTTATACTTGAATGACAAGTAGAATAATAGCTTTCTGTTAATTTGCTCAAGATATCTGCACTCTTGTATGTATTTCGAGTCAAAGTATTTCCAGTTTTTGTTTTCAAAGTGAGATTAAATCTTTCCACTACGGCTGCTTTTGTGGTATTAAATGTATCGAAAGATTTAGATTGATTTATTTTTTAAAAAAATTTTAAACACTTTATTTTTTAATTCGGTACCCTGATCATTTTGGCTTACATTCGCTCATATTTTTGAAACGCTTTCACAATATTTTCTTCCCTCTTTGTGTAACGTTATGATCGCGCAAATGTGAAATGTCTGCTAAAGCTGACCATTGTTGATCTGTAGCAGGGCTTCTTAAACTTTTTTTCAGTCGCGACCCCTTTTTATCACTGAGATTTTTTCGCGACCCCAGGACCCCCATAATATTTACGAAAATTTTGGTTGACCCAATATTGCAGTTTTAGGCCATTAACTTTTATTTCTAATTTTAAGACACAGAACAATGTGGAAATTTTAAATAAGTAACAGACGAAATGGCAGCGTCAAGTGCCAAGCAAGTACAATGAACGTTTATATTATAAAAAGAATGCGTCGAAGCATTTTCGTTTTTTCTGTGTCTGTACTTGTACTGTTTCATCTTTATCTATTTTCAGATACATTGTGTAAAAATATTTAGTCATTGAAAAATTATTATTATAAGTTAAAGAAATATCAAAACTGCTAAAACTTTTAGCGAACCCCCCCCCGGTAGGATCACAACCCACAGTTTAAGAAACTCTGATCTATAGAGTGCACTATTACTCTATTCGTTTGAAATTTACGACGAAATGGCTTGTGAGAAGTGGGTACGCATGTGTTTCCTCCAATTATGTTTGAATTTCTTTTTCGGGAAATTTTACTTCCTGCAACACGATGTATGGCATCTACACTACCATAACTTCCAACCAGAGGTGGAACCTGATACGTTAAGTTCTTTTTAATAATTCATTGAAATATTCTTCATATCCGAATGATGGTGAAAATGATATATGACGATGATTTCTTATACCTTTTTTTTTTTTTTTTTTTTTTTAGATGTGGATCAAACATTTGTGGCACTTCCTTAAATTTAATACATTTGTCAAACATCATTACACTTTTACTCCACCTCTTAAATAGGAACGGGTCCAACAACTCGATGAATACAGGGAGTTCGAGCTGGGTTATATCCCAGACGAACGAGTTGTACAGTTTTTGTAGATATCCTAATAATTTTAAATCCGATTAAAATATCCTAATAAAATAAAACTCTTTATATTAAAATACAAAACTGCAATTTAACGTACAGGGTTTGGTTTGGTTTGGTTTGGTTTACTGAGATTACGGCAAAGCATACTAGGGCTATCTGCCTAACGGGAGGGATGCCTTCGTGGAAGACTTTCTAAGGAAAACTGGCTCGTATATACGTTACACATGGAGAAAACCACGAAAACACACATGCAGCCAGCCCGTTCGTGGGATTCGAACCTCGGACCGAACTACCAGTGTTCAGCGACTTTACC